AAAAAGGTGCAGTCAGAAAAGCATTGATTGTGCAACTTAAAGGAATGAAATCAAAATTGGCAGCCAAACTGGTAGCTACACTTATAGCATTGATAAGAATTTTACAGCAAATATTCATTCATTACTTAGCCAGGCTTTGTTTTTTGTTCAACTTAGGGCATGATGGTGGGTAAAACAAAATACATGCACTGGAAAAAAAGTGACATTCTAAGAAGGGGTGGGGTGGGCTTTAATAATTGATTTTATCATTTTTAACACTTTACAGTTATTTTTTAGCGGACTATAAAACCTCTCTACTATGGAGTTTTGCTATTCTATTCTGCAGTAAATGCAAGACTAGCATGCAAATATCCATCTTCATTGGGAAGAGTGAAACATAGCTATCTGAAAAGTACATATTTGCAATATTAGCACAAAGCACTCTCTTCAGTTACTTCCAGCCCATCATAAGTATATAATAAAGTGTGTTGTTTGAATATCATTCTGAAAATAAAACATAGAAAAAAACCAGAACTTTCTTAGGGGTAAAAAATGTAAAATTTTTAAGTATGATCATTCTCCAGTTATTCCTTAAACACAGTGGTTGTGCTAGATATAAGTAACATAAGCAATTGCATACAGCCCTGAGCAGCTCAAGAGACTATGATTTCATTGGGATTTTATCATTTTATGCTTACAGCCCTGAGCACCTCAAGAGACTACCATTTCATTGGGATTTTATCATTTTATGCTTACAGCCCTGAGCACCTCAAGAGACTACCATTTCATTGGGATTTTATCATTTTAAACAGAACTTTTGACTTATAGTATTGTACTAATTTGAAAACAAAAAATGTTTTCAATGAAAGTGATCTAAAAACATCACTCAATAACAGAGATGTTTAAAAAATAGAGCGGCAAGACACTTTTCAGTAATGCACACATGTGGTGCACATGTACTGATTGATTGCCTAGTGCAGTACACCACAGTGTACATGATTTGAGAAAGATACTGGCACGGTGGTGTTAGTATGCGATTTAAAATGACATTTTAAAATACGTATTAGCATGTGTTGTGTTGGTATATTTTTGGGTTTGTGGAAATAATGCCTTCAGTAATTTTTTATGATGGGTTCAAATATTTCTGCGTAGTGTTAGAAAGTTTAAAACTTGAATATTATCAATTTCAAGGCTCTTCAACTATTCCCTGGGCATCACTAAAAATGTTTGAAGAGTGATATATACATGTGAATATATTTTCGAATAGTAAGAGCTAATCACATTCGCAATGAACAAGAGTAACTTTTTGGGGCTTTAACAGTTGAATGTCATAATTTTTTTCAAAACTTTCCTTGTTATAAAAATATAAATATATAAACAAATATTAAAAGAATAGGTCCAAGGGAGAAATAATGTGGGCTATCTTGCACAAAATAACTGATCTGGCACTATCTCCAGTATTTTAAAAAAGTGGTCTATAACTAGAACAATGGCCTTGCACCTGCCCATCACACTTTCCCTAGCCCTTTGACCTAACACAACAACATAAAAGAGTACATTGAACTTTAGGCTTATATACTCATGGTAAATTGCACTCAAAGGCCTAAAGAAAGCATATTGAGTTATATAGCAATATGTAGGCAAACAACTATTTATAAGCATAAGGAAAAGTTTTACTGATGGTGGAAGATATTACATGTTTTGACAGAACATTGGTCTGAAGACTTATAAATCATTGTTTCCCTACCTATTATTATATCAGCATAATGTGCTTCCCTACTCGAGATTCATATAACAGTAATTACAAAATTTATCGTATTGCACAGGACATTCATAGTAGACCTATATGTCATAATAGTGATTTTCAGATTCAATGAAAGCCAAATGCAACAGCTACATGGAAATATGTTCATATTCTTCCCAAAGGTAAGAAATATTATGCACTAATTACCAAGTAACTGTTCAGCAGTTACTTACACATACACAAAGATAAATTTAACTGTACAAATTAGATGTAAACCAAAAAAAAGCATTTCTTTTTCTGTTGGCTGGACATGGTCTAGTGTGCTGGAGTATGCAATTCAAGGTCAATTGTTTATGTCATGTTGCTTAACAAATATGTGAATAAGTAAAATAAAACAAAATAAAAATTGCACCACGCACTTTAGGGAATTTGGTGTATTAATAACACTGACTTAATTTCTTAATGTAGGTCACCATCTGGTAATGACAGTCAGGATATCAAACCTGATATGTTAATTGGTCTGATTGTGAAGATAATCAAATTCAATAGCCTTATCAAGAAAACCATTATTAAGCATGCATGGAAGGTGATTTTCAGGACATTCACACCAAACAAAAAAGGGTTGTTGCAAAGAAGACCAAGTTTCCATTGATAGTTGTTAAGGTGGAAATATTCAAGGTCCCTTGAAGGTAAGGTAGAAATGATGTTTCATTTGATAAGCATTGATTGGTGGTTATTCTGAGGATGTCAATGCAATAGATTATAGTTTAAAGGAACAAATAATGATATAGACAAGTCAGGCCTATAAAAAGAAAGTAACATTTCAAACTAAAATCCTGAAAAAGGAAGCAAGTTACTCCAGTTTGTAGAACTGAAAGGAATAACTCATGTTAAGATGTCAATGGATAAAGAAATGCCCAGCAAAATTGATGGTCATTAGTGAAGAGAAAAACCTTGCATTATACTCCAGAAGTAACAAGAAGGCAAAAAACATATTGGGAGCAGAAAATAAAAGAAGAGCCCAGCAATGTGTAATATATTGGCTAGGTAACTTCTTCAGTGATGCATGAAAAGAAGGAAAAGACACAATATTAGAATTGAACCTTTGCTACATCAAGTATGATCTGAGGCTAATGAAGCCGAGAGACTGTATAAAAATGTTTTAGTACAGTATCATTGCAGGGGGTACTTATATGGAGTTGATGCATAAAAATAATTAAAAGTTACATTCATGACTTTTCTAACTACCTACTCAATACGTGCACCTATACTCTTAAGATCATTTATGGATACTTTTAAAACACATACAATCTGGCAATCTTTACTTAGCATTATAATACCTCTGGTATTATTACTGGCAAAATTCTGGATTAAGGGAACAAAATGTATATTACTATTAACCAGATTGCCTCCAGATGTTTTTGTGGGTTTCATCCTTGCTTAAGTTACTGTTCTTTTTTCTAGGTCTAAAATCTTGCAACATCCTGAGGGAATAACTAGTGACTTGAGTTCTGACCTGTTCAAACAGCATGCCTCCATTTTTCCAACTTTTACACTTAAGCAATCGAGGACAGTTTCAGATCCTAAAAAATAATACACTTTGGTTACTTTCTTAGGGGGAATAGAAAATTGTAACCCTCTGGCAAAGATCATTTTCTCATCATCAGACAAATGAGTCTGATAAATTATGAATAACTTCATCTGCATGTTCCAAGAACAAGTATCCACGTCTACACTTCTTGAGATAATTGAGTTTATGTAAATGTTTAAATTTAATTTCAGTTAAAGCTTTATAACTACAGTTGATATTTTTAGCTTCTAGGTTTAGGGAGTTAACCCTGCTTCCCAACTGCTCTAGAAATCAGTGGCATAGCCAGATTTCCATTCAGGGGAAGGCAATAAATTAAAAAGCTGAAATTGATCTAAATTTTTAATAAAATGGTAATTAAAACAAATCAAATCAAATATAATAGTGTTTATAGAAGTTTTATTTTTTTAAATCAAATTATACAAAATGAGTTTATTATACATAAAAGCTGTCAAATAATACATGATCAATATGCTTAGATTTTATTTTGGGGTGGGGGAGCATTTGCGAGTCAAGTGCCCTAACCACCCGGCCATGCAGGGCCCCAAAGTTTGGAGTCATCAATGGCTTAGTTTTAGTTGAATGGGGTAAAAGTTCAGCCAGACTTACCATTCAAATCAATAAACAATACTCATATTCCTTTATTTTATAAAGAAATTTGGTTATTACTCTTTAATGATGAATAAACTGATTGACAAACCCCTTTTCAGAATTGTTTATTTCAGCAATTCTACCTGGACTATTAATCATGTTGTCCTCACCAAATTATATAAACCTCCAATTAAGGATTCAAAATTATGTACAAGTAACTTAGTTTATTCACTAATATAATGTAACATGAAAAACTACGTATTTTGTACATACGATCTCATACACAATAATGTTGTACGTGCATTTTTTTTTAGAAGAATCCAGGATAAATTATTTTTTTATTGTTTCATGTTTTTTGCATATCAATTTTACATTATTTTTTTTAAAGAATGAAGCTGCCTCTGCTGGTAATTTTCAGTTCTTCATTAAAGCCTGGGAAGGGGAGGAGGAGGAGAATTGCCAAGGACATGTGACAAAAGTGAATTTATAACCTGTGCTTGAATATAATTTGAAACAAGCATTGATTTTTTTATCACTTGCAAGGTTATTAATACAAAAAGGCATACAGTGTGGTGAAATGGAAAGTAAGTTTCAGATAATGTAAATGTTACTTAATTTTTGTGTAGCACACTTACTTGTACCTCAGACCTGCAAACAGAAATTTAATATCAAGTATGGGATAGCTACAGTTTACTATTTGCCAACAGAGCCTTCTTTAATGATATTTATAGGTTCCATGATAATACTTAAACGTTCTTTTGGAGCTGTGTTAATGTGTTACGTATTTTCTGCCCCTGGAAATTCGAATGGAATATGTCAGTGGACCCAATGGTTTAGTGAAAAAGATCCACTTATGTTGATTCCGTGTATCTCATTCTTGAGTGGTTTAGTTTGGCTGAGGTGCCAGCATCCAAATGCATCTTGGGAAACTACACATCAGATACCAATGTTTGACAATGAAATACAAAACTGAATGTTTAAAAATCTGATCATGATTTTCCTAGCAAATGCCACTCTTTAGGATATTTTTGTTTTTTACTTACATCTAAGGGATGGTTGGCAAGTGTTTGAAATTAAAATTTAACTTTTAATCCCTGTAAAAAAGTTACATTTTCGTCTATGAGTGTAACTAATTTTTACTCTTCTGACAACATTAATATATGAATGTCATTCTTCAGAAGTTCTTCTGGCACCTAGGGAGTAACTGGAGAGAGATATTGTTTTCTCATGCTATTGTTGCCAATTTTTACTGTTCATAAGGATATTTCAGATACAGATCAACACTCCCCCCCATGAATATTGTATTTATTGTGGGATAGAGTGACCAATGTCTATGCTGGAGATACTTTCCCTATGGGAATAAAGGAGCATGTTAAAAATTATGAAATTCAATTATTAAAGCTCCAAAAATAACACAAATTTTCATTGCAAATGTCAAATATTAACCTAACTTCAGGCCACTGTAATTTATTGTTTCATAACTATCACATACTGATACCTAGTTGTAGGTAATGCAAACCTACAACTTCCTAACTGGTGGTACAGATGAACATGTGATGGTCATCTATCACCTATCATCTTTGGAATAACTAATCTAATATGTACTGTATATGTATGTGTTGTTTATATATACATAATCATTTAGTTATTTATAAAATAAACCTTTTTTATCAGAATTACTCAAGGTAACTTTAAGAAACACATACCTTAACTGGATGTAGTTATTTGGTTGAAAATACACTATCAAATTTGGCTTGACCAATATATTACCATTAAATTCATACTCTACAGAACATTAAATTTTCACCAAATAACAGCTCCATTGTTGTTGACTACATCATTTCTACTCAGTAAAAATGTTGAGATATTATTTCATTCGTGCATATGAGACATTTCACGTTATCAAACTTTTCTTTTTTAATTTCCAAACAACGCCCAGAAGTAAATAAATTATCACTTAGTCAATACATATATTTCTGAAGATTAACAAAAAGATAACTGGATTTTTTTCTTTTTCTTGTGAAAAAACACCCTTTTCAAAATGAACTCGTTTTAATCTCAATCTTTAGTCTACCAATAAAGAAAAATTCTGCATGTATATTAATAGAAGTGCTTACCTGTTTTATAATAGTTTTTACATTAGCAATAGGTATACCCTGGTAGTTGGAACGAATAATAAGCTTCAGTAAGTTGTGTCCTAAAACTTCAAACACCATACATACATCTGAACAAAAGTCAAGGAACCAACACTCTGGGCTGTTAACCAACATTTATATAACCATAGTACCTTTTTAGAGGTTTATTAAGTTTAGAATAACAGATTTTGTTTATATTAATATTATAATATTTGCCATTCATGATTTTAGAAAAACAAGTAAGTTAAATTTAAAGAAAACTCCAGACAGATGCAATAAATTCAACCTTCTGTTTAACAGAGATCATTAAATACAGTTGTTTCACTCCACAGAAAGGCCTTGTTAAAAATACAGTCCTCAATCTTGCATACTGTAGCTATAAATATTTGCTTTCTTTTTAAGCATAATACAAGCGTCTATGCACAAAAGTAACCATTCTAAAAGTGTGCAACCAACAGACACACCAATCCATGTTGTGGCATATCAGTGATAGTATATTCAAAACTGATACATGTAAAATAAAAAATGATACGCATCTCTCAAAACTTTATGCATATTTTATGTAGATATGCTAGCTATCTGTAGCACTGTATACAAGCATAACAGAGATGAAATTTGTCTCCCTCCCCCCACATTCAGCTGAAGTTTTCTTCTGGAGCCTTTAAACTTGCTATAGTGTTTGCAGCTTTTACATAAGAATTGGGAATATCCTAGCACAACTAAAATTCTGCATAAACAGTAAATGATAACACAGAACTTTATAAGTGACATAAATGAAACATATTAGTGACAAGCTTAAAACTTAGTAGGAGTGTCAATTCAGACCATTATCACATAATGTTTATTATTTTATTTATCACTGAATAAAACTCTAGGTTACAAGTTAATGCATAGATACTATGACCTACCTAGATGACTTAATTTATGCCACTTACAGAAATCTAAAACACATCAACACACATATATAATTACTATTCTGGCTTTCTTTATGCAACACTAACTTATTTTTTTGAAGAAAGGATACGAGTTCCATTCACACCTGAAATCTTGAAATCATCTAACAACTGCACCACTTTCTCTCTGTATGGATCATCGGGGTCACTTTCTCTTACCTGCAACAATAAATCATGTTTAATACAGAAGTTTCTTGAGATTAGACAAATGCAAAACACTGATTATAATACTTCAAAATAATAAAAAAATCATCACAAAAATAAAAAACAGTAATAAACATGCTAAATTTCCATAGGCAGAAGGCAGACACAAATCTTATAATCTTAAACACGTTTTACTTTAACCCTTTCAACCCAGGCTCAGTCCCTGGTACCGACCTCATAACCATTTTGTGCTTGTTATAGTTTTCATGCTATAGCTTTTAAATTAGTAAGCAAATGTTAACAAAATTTGGCAGTTTATCAGTAAACATTACAATACTTTTATATGCAAAACATCTAATTTTTTATTAAGTTGTAAAGTTTGTAAAGCAATATTTCTCTCATGCCTTTTTTTTTTTCTTTTCACATCTTGCCTACGTATCATGCAAAGTAATTTTATTTTAAGATTAAAAATATTTTTATGCTTCAGAAAATTTTGAAATTTCATATGCAAAATCTTTATAATGTCGAGATAGTTGTCAAACATTTCTTAAAAAAAAAACTTTAAATTCTATCTGTTATTTTCAGTAATTAATCTCTGTATGGGTTCAGTAAATTTGACCGATCTTGCAACCACCATAAAAATTAGGAAATAAACATAAAAATGTGTTCATTCTAGAATGAAAGAGGCATAGATTATAACACGAAAACATAAATGTTTAGACGAAATAGCTTAAATCTCATAACATTATACATTTATATACATTTATTATTTTTATTATATTGACCTTTCACCCGTGCTTGGCTAACACTACAGAAGTTACAACGAAGCGCTCACATGCACTCATGTTACCATATCAAATACCATAAAGGTGACCTTTGGTCTATACAAAGTAACTTGTCTTGGCTGTGTTTTAGTAGACTAGTCTCTGAAGTGTGATTATATTTAATATATTCATCATAGCATATGAAGAAGAAGAACAACAACACACACACACACACATGCACACAAAAAGGTCCAGTCAGGAGAAGATGATTTCAGGTTAATTTCATAAGAAAGCTTGAATATAAAAGAAACTTTACTCCCGATTACTCTGATATCACTTTTGGCACAAAGCCTAAAATTAAGAATAAAAAACAAATTGAACAAGTTTTAAAAAATATGATTAATAACCCATATCTAAAGGCTTATGTTTTAATGAAATAGATTATCTTATGAGGTTCAAAATTTACCATATAAACACACTTTGCTAAAAGAATACTACCTGATGCAAGTAAAGTGAAATATCAATTTGTGTTGTGCATAATTAAGTCCTTCAGCAAAGTTTTTTTTATAAAATCTACAAAAATTATCAATATACAACAGCTAAATCATGAAATTGACTGTTATTTGTTGTTTACAAAGAGGGAAGAGTGTTCTTTTATATGTCACTTCTGATTGGTCAGTACTCACACAAGCAACCAATCAAGTACTGTGTAACACAATGTTGAAATCACATCCATGCACAAATCTTTGTGATGTTTTCTGTGACATAGGCACTAGCAGACAATATTATTATAGCATAAAAACTTTCACAGCAGACTTTGTGGATGAAGTTGAAGAAGAACTACAATGTTCAAAACAATTATACAAAATACACTACTAGATTTACTTAAAAGAATTGTTGGAAATGGAAGTAAGTAAGTAGGTCAAATAAAACTAGTATATTAATTAATAAATTCGACCTGATAATTTGATCTATATACATGCAACATACACAGTAATGAGAGAGGAAGTACAAGTGATTGCTTGAAAAGTATGATGTCATAAGCATATATACATGAAATACATACACACACATACACAGGAATGGGAGAGAGAAAGGCAAATGGGAAGTACATGTGATTGGTTGAAAAGTATGATGTCTGGTTTGTTTTGATTTTCGCGAAAAGCTACATGAGAACTATCTAGATAGCAATCCTTAATTTAGCAGTGAAAGACTATAGGGAAGGCAGTTAGTCATCACCACCAACTTTTGTGCAACTCTTTTACAACAAATAGTGGGATTGACCATCACATTATAATGCCCCATACAGCTGAAAGGACGAGCATGTTTGATGGGATGGGGATTTGAACCCATGACTCACAGATTGCAAGTCGAGTGCCAAACCATCTGGCCAACTGTTGATTTCTCTCTGAACTTCTGTTGTAGACATATTAAATTTCATAGTAAACAAGTCTATGCTAGCTTAAGTTTTCATAGTAATTTACTGTTTACTCCAACAATCTTTCTGCAGCCTCATTTCCAAAACTGTTTACTAAAACAAAAACTACCAATGTCTGTAATTCTTTGTATGATTTAAACTTTCTCTATGCAAAGAAATAATATTTTCTATCTATTTTCACAATTCTATAGAAATAACTGCAGACTCACAATACAATAAATCAATGAAGTATACTTAGATGTAAATACTACAAAAATCCTGGTTTATGAGATATTTTTCGTTATTTCCAGCAACTATCTGTACATTACGGTATAAAGATGTCTGAGTATTTTGGCAGTCATCATTTCAACTTATTTTAGATAAAAAAAATAACACAAGCAGGTTTTTGTAAGAACTTTTTCAAACATGATAAAATTAATTTTTTTATGTAGTTCACAGCAAGATTTTTAAAAAAAAAAGAATGTTAAAATTATGTTTGATAAAACTAAGCTGAATGTAACTTTAATCTTCCATTGGAGAATTTTCAACAGCGTACGCAAAATTTAAGGTGTTGTATGTAAAAAAAAAATCTTGTATTGTTGTCAGCACCATACATAATCAATGGTGTATCTCAGTAGAAAAGAAAACATTGCTATTCATATGAAACATTACAAGAGGTGTAAAAGTACTTTCTTCTACGTAAAATACACAAAACCCTTTTTATTATGAACTATATAGTTTCTAATATACCTTCTGGCTTTGTCTTGCTATCATAACGTTAGTAAGTATTGATAAAATACTGAAGTGTTTAGTAAGTCTATGGCAATGTACAAGGTAATAGATTCTCTAAATCTAAATCACAAAATTTTATCATTATTAATATTTTAAGCTCAAAGCATGCATGACATGCTTTGAGACATTTTGCAGTAAATCTAATTACATGTAATTTAAAACTTGATAATGAGGAACCCACTTTTTAGAAAAAAGGTTTGAGATGGCTTGAATGTTTTATCATTACCCAGTCAAGCCGTCTCCAAACTTTTATTTACATGTGATTTATTGATTTTCTATGATGTATAAATACTAAAGCAACTTAACCAGAATTTAGTAAAAAAGACAATAAACGATTTTGTTTTATTGGAATATAATCTAAACTGAAAGAAAAGAATAAGAAATGCTTACAGATCTGAGAATCTTGATTTCATCAAGAGCTGTATCTGTGTAGTTGGAAGCACTCTTGACAACCTTCAATGCTACAAACCTTTTTGCACTGGAAATGCCAAAATTAGGAATTTTTACTTGTTATCAATGCAAGCTAAACTTTTAAACTATATAGGAAATATCTTTTGAGCACTATTTAAAAGCAGTAAAAAACTTTATTACTAGGTACAAGAACAAACTTTTATGCCACTCCCGGAATATGATATAAGTCAATGTAGCACGAAATCTATTATTCTGTATTGCACAATGAATAAAAGTTGGTAATTCCGTTACATACTTAAGGTAATGAATAAGCATTATGGATAGATCAACCCATCTGTTGTTCATGACAATGATGAAGGATATATCCATATTCTGCACATCATTATAAAACAAAGCTACAGAATTTTAATAGTAACACTTAATGACTTGTTTCATTATTCATCTGTTTTAATGAATATAATTCAAATAGGTTTCACGATTTGTTTGAAGTTAAGCACAAAGCTATACAATGGGCTATTTTTACTCTGCCCACCACAGGTATTGAAACCCGGCTTCTAGCATTGGATATCCGCAGACATACCGCTGTGCCACTGGAGGGCAGGTTCCATAATATATCTATTTTTGAATCTTTTCATGCTTTAAAGATAAAGTGCAAGTAATTTATAGAGCAACATAGCCATAGTGCTAGCATCATATTGAATAACACTGTATTATTTAAAAATTCTTAATTGTTATTTGAAATGAAGTGAATGAATTACTATCTTGACTCATCATTTCATTCTAAACTTGGAATAATTTCACATTCTTTGAATAATTTAGATTTATAAGTTTACATATGTTTCACTATTTGAACTATTTTAAATTTTCTTTAACATTGAGTGTTTACTGAGGGGGGTTCTAATTTTTTCTATATTTAAGCAATTAGATTGCATCAATATCTTTTCATGTTTATGAATCACAAATGCTTAAAGTAACATCATCCGGATGCTATGTTCAATAACAATAGGTAATTTTCTGAGACATCAGAACTGGAAGTGCTACAACATACTTGACTTATACAGCAACTGAAAATTATATTAATTTTCTGGAGGGCATGCCCCCCAAACCCCCCTAGATTATAAAATCTGCATGCCTATCCAAGCACCCTCACTTTGCAACTCCCTCCCACATCAGTGATTTTTCTTATGCACAATTCTGTAGCTTCTTATAGAAATCTACAATACAAAAAAAATATTTGAGTAAAACTATTCAAATGAAAATTCTGATAAATTCCAATTATTTAATCTTCATAAATATCACAGGGCACACCAAAAAGCAGTGCCTTATAGAAAATATCTTCTTATGAGTTTTAGGTGTGGTTTGTTTGTTTTGTTGAACTTTGTTCAAAGCTACTCAAGGGTTATCTGTGCTAGTTGTCCCTAATTTAGAAGTGATAGGTTAGAGAGACAGCAGTTAGTCAACACCATCAATTACCAACTCAGACTACTCTAATTGAAGAGTAGGATTAATTATCATATTATGACACCTCCACAGCTGAAAGGGCGAACACGTTCAGTAATGGGATTCAAATCTATGACCTGCAGCTTGCGAGTCAAACACCCTAACTACCAGGTCATGCCATGCAACTTTCAGGAAAGACTAAAACGAGTTTTAGGTGGTAAAAGATAAGACTTCCACAAGTGTCATAGACATGCGATTTAGAGGTGCTTGATATATTTTCACGTAAGAGGAACTACTTTTCTTAGACTGTAAAATATAACAGCAGAATTTTTTTGTGGTTAAAATACTAGAAAATACAGTTTATTAATTTCCTTCATCATTGTATGATCCTATGCAAGTTATGTAAATTTATCATCTTATAATTATTCGTTTTAATATTCTCTTATTTTAATATCTAAAATATAGAAATTTCCAAAATAAATCTCCATGTCTTCCAAACTATCTGTTAAGATTCCTAAATAGTTTGATATTAATCAATTTCTTAAATTTATAATCTTTACATGCAATTTGAGTACCCATTTTATAAAGATTCAAGGTATTTCCACACATATGACACAAGTATTGACTAACATATCTATCCTAACTTTGATAACAACACTATTAAAGATGATTAAAAAACTTTAATATTAGAAAACCTCTCTTTGAAGGTTGGTGAGTGAAGCAAGTCAAAACGTATACTTACGTCAGATCCCAACACAGCCATACAGTTGAGAAGTGACCCCAACCAAGCTTTCTAATCACATGATATCTCCCATGGAACAGATCACCAATCTTCACAGGGTGATAGCCTCCTGAAGAGATGATTAAAAACTCTTTTTTAGCTTTTAAATAAAACATATTTAAACATGACATAGGAATGATTCTTGAAAGTCTCCTTATACATTTTTTATTAATTCACTCTAAACTGCTTTATGACTGCACTTAAATGGATAGCAGAGACAAAAAAAATATTATAAGTTACAGAAGAAACAAATTATGAACCAACAAGAAGCAGTAATTACTGTCTTAAATTACAGACACCATGATAATTTCACTTTTTATGAGGTGCTAAATGCACGACTAAATAACCAATTAATGAAAATTAGTGTTTTATATTTCAACTATTCAAGAAATCGAAATACTGTAATTATGGTTTCTTCTTATTATTATTTTTGATTAATTCAAGGTTAAATCATAAATTAACTACATGAGTGAGCCAAGTAAAAATAACCATTACTGGTATGATCTTCATCATCTTACAATCACTCATTTTCATATTCTCTTACTTTAATATCTAAAATATAGGAATTTCCAAAATAAAATTCCATGTCCTCCAAACTCTCCATTAAGAGTTTTATATAGTTCACTATTTTAAAGTTTTCTTTAACAATGGTGTTTACTAAGGGGGGGGGTTCTAATTTTCCTATATTTAAGTACAATTAGATTCTATCAATATCTTTTCATGTTTATGAATCAGAAATGTTTAAAATAACATCATCTGGATGCTAAATTCAATAAAAATAGATAATTTTTAAAGGCATCAGTCTGTAACCTGCGATTAATACAGAAGTTAGCAGAAATATGAAATATTCCAAGTGTTAATTAATAGCAAAAACTACTATTTTATGCAATGTTATGAAAAAAAAGCAATAAATAAGAATTGAAAATGAATGACCTTTCAATATAGTGTATAACAAGTTCTGTACTGAAAAGGAAATTTAGGCATAACAGACATTATTAATCAGAAAATGTAAGAACTGCACTTGCTAAGATATTCAACATAGAGACATATTGAATTGTTTTTATCTTTCTAAATAGGCTTCACATCTTTTCTTTTTTGTAACTTTCTGCATTTAGAAGTGGCAGAGATTTACTAGCTCCATGAAAGTAAATATTATCTGCTCCACACAGGGTAGAATATACAAACAAGACAAGAATTACTAACTCATAGAGAACTATGCACGCAAGTGTAGCGGTGAGGACCCGATTCATTAATGGTACATGTATCAAAGGGCCTGATCTATACAGATTGGTAGATATAATGTGTGACCAAGGAATGTGTATTCTAAAACAGGAGTAGTATGTGGCAGTGTGAAAGAAATTTGCCTGCCTCACACAGTGTGACAAGCAATACCTGCTCCATGTTGAAAGGTACATGTAGATGACTAAATAATTCCCATAGGTGTGGAAAAAATTACATGCTTTTGGCAGGGTAGTGCAAGCAGATGCGACATCTTTTGCTTTGGATACAGTTGTACATTATGGGTATGCCAAAGTATTACCTACTCATTAGTTTGTTATCATGTAGAAATGATAAATATACTATCCATTTCATATAGCATAGCACCATTATGTAGGTGAAGTAATTATATGTAGTTATTTAAGTAAATATGGCAAAAAGTACCCAGTTCACGCAAGGTGGTAAACCATTAAGTGCAAGTCATTATTTCACAACAAACTACATCTATATTTTTTTAAATAAAGTGAAGGACAAAGTAAAATGAAATTAGAAAAGAAGATTATTTAATAAGACGGTGCGCAATTACACAGGCATGCAAGTTTCAACTTCATAAAAGTTGTTTTGGTTTTAATAACAGATTTTCTATAATTCAACTACAAAGATCTTGAAAATAATACTCTTTTTTTTTTTCTATCACGTAAGGATTTTTTACAAATTGGGAAGAAAAAAAAACTTATTTAGATCAAATTATCAATTTGTTTACCACAATGAAAATTTTTTATTATTATTATGAAGAAAAGAGAAAAACATTGATGCCAAAAGAATATGCATCCTCATTCATCTAATTTTTTTTGTTGTGAAATCTATGTCTTTTAAGCCTCAAATCTATGTGCTGTGGTCTTTCTTTTTATGTATTGCATTATGACGTTTT